TCTTTATTCGTAATATTGACACTGCAATCACACACTGAGGGCCAGAGCTGCGTACACAGGATAATCAATCGTCATTCAGCAGACGGAAGCTGTATCACCTACATCAGCTGTCGTAGGGCTGACTATCGTTTGACTCGAATAGGTATCAGTTAAGCTTTCAGTTTCCTTATTCTGTGCAAGAGTAAGGAGTGTTTGCTCGTTATAAAGATTCCCGAAATATCACATATTTCGTCTAAAGTTTTTTTTTTTTTGATAATGTTGATCATCGGATTGGTGGTTTTTCTGTTGTGCACTTGATGTTACGAGAAAAGTCAGTACTCATACAATGGGTTGTTCTCGAAGTTTACTACGTGCCTTTCCCACCTTATCTTCAGTCGCCTGGTATGTAGACTGCAAATTTGATTTTCGATCGTTGTTCGACATAGTTCAGAACTTCGTATCACTTCTCTAATCTACGGGATACGGTATACTCCTAGCGTCGACTTTTCAGCTATGCGTTCAATGCAGAGTAATGCTTCCCTGCTTTTCTAGCGACCATATCGCGAGTGCATATGTAAAAGCATTCTTTTGTGTTCATCCTCACAAATAATGGTAGCGGCGCCAAAGATGTGTCATTCTAGACCAAGTGAAAAGATCCACTAGATGTTGCTGTCTGGACCGATTTTCAGTCTGTGGTTCGTAACTGGTCAAAAGCATATCAAAACCGTGCAGTCGAGTTCAAAAGTTGTGCGTGTACCACTAGCGATGCCACACCAGACCTCTGAAATGCTTAAATTATTCCATTAGACCATACGGGATGCCATATTTACGGTGGCCCACTGTCATCTGGGCATTTCGAATAATCAATCAAAATGGAGAGTGAAAGTGAGAGATCGAATCTAGTTTGAGAAAGTTGAACAATTTTTGACGAAAACAGTCCTGTTAAAGAATCTTTGATTTTTAACATCCTAAATGATGAGGTAACCGAGACACATCTAGCAAAGTATATTTCGAATAATCAATCAAATTAATGTATTAGAAATTTCCATCGTTTTGATGGGAATGTCGTTTTTTCGTATTGATCGTGTCTGAAATCCATATCATTTGAAAGGTCTACTTCTTGAGCTTCTATTGATATATAATTTGTCCAGATCCAGAAAACCCCCGAAGATTCTGTCTATAGTACCCAGAACTTGTTCGTCGAAAGCGCGATTTGTTTCAGCAAAACAATGCTTAACCACACACAGCCAAAAAGACCAAGGCAGAGTTTGAGAAATTGGACGGAGATGAGATTCTACCGCATCCACCCTATAGCCCGGACGTTGCTCCATCTGATTACGGCCTTTTCCGATCGATGCAACAATTTTGGGAAAGTCGCCGATTTGAATCTTTCGATGACGTTGAAGAAGCATGTCAAGAGTTCTTTGATTCAAAGCCGAAGGAGTGGCACTTCTATCAGATCCGATAAAACCTGGCAGACCGATGGCAAATAGTGGTGGATAATGATGGCCTGTATTTTGTAGAATAGTTGTTGTTGTTTGTTGTTTGAACATATGCATGAATTTTGAATGTTTTGTCGAACGATGAAACTTTCTTTCCAACCTAGTATCTCACGTGGACGGGTTGCTATTGAATTTTCTGTTGAAATTGGTAACTGAGAAGTGGTTTTCTACGTGAAAATCGTGCGCCTTCGAAAATCAACACAGTATTCATCCTTTTCATTTCGGGCTGTTATTGAAATCCTCTCAACCTAAACAATCGTTAATCTAAAGCAGTTTTTCTGCCACTTCTTTATTTTCTGTTAATAAGTTACCCAACAAATTTTTGAGCTCATGCTTTCCATAAAAGTTTTCTTGCCAATTGTCCACTAACCACTGCAGAAAATAGATGTGCTGAGAGAAGAAGACTGGCGACTTGTAAAATAGTTCTCAATATATAAGATGCTTTTAATGGGCATCAACACTATTAAATTCGAACTGATTCCAAAAACAGCGCAATAAAATCAAATTCGAAAAAGCAAAGTTGTCATTTCCTCCAAAAATGTATGAATTCCATGGAAAATTCACATGGTTGTTAAGAAATTTCGTCAGTATAGAAAAAGGGTACTTTTCTGTTAGCCTAGCGCCATTTCAACCCCTTGTAAAAGCGTATTTCTTGGTCTTTTCAATGTTCAAATTGTCGTTCGATAGCACAAATTAGAAGAATTTGAGAGGAATATCTGGTCCTCAAAAAAGTCTTCTTATTACTCTGAAAGAGCAAGAATAAAGTTTTGCTTCTCATTGGAAGATTTCTTACTGAATAAGGCTTTTCTTTTGGAGTTTTACTAACCAATCGATAGATCAAATCTTAAGGATTCCAATGATTTATTTGGTCTTTGTAATGGACCTGGTATTACGATATAACAGCCAAAAGAAGATTGGGTTTTGCAAAAAAGTGGACCCAATTCAACTACCCTCTCTTCACTTCGATCCATGGTGAAGAACTATTTTTTGATCGTTTCTAATGTTTTATTAATTAATCGGTAGCTTAAATCAAAAAAAGTGGAATGGTGTATTTTATTCTCAAAAAGACCTTGCTATTGCGCTGAAAGAGCAACGATAGGATTTTGTTTCTCATCAAACGATTTCTTGCTTACCAGAGCTTCTCTTTTATAGTTTTAAGAATGTAGCAATAGGTTGATTAAAGCGCAGTAGGTCATCGAGAAACCCTGAAATACAAAAGGGTCAGTACGTTAACTGTATATCCCCCAAAACTTTAGCTGGATCCTTCAGCCATTTATGAATGTAATTAACCAATTCGAGAGATCCCTAAGAGGTCCGTCCGGCATTTTGTCAATGAGGAATAAGCATTTCTTGAGGACTTCAGTATGTAGATCATTCTAGTTCCCGCTATCCGAACCCTTCTCTCATTTGAATTATAAAAGCAAAAGCTTACCAATAGACAGTTTTTGCGACTCAACAGTTTTTTTTCATCGTGTCATTCCGGAAATTCTGGAACAGCCCGATACCACATAACAAGTTGGCTTAAATAACAATTATGAGATACATTGAAATCTGAGCGTGGTCTTAAGAAAACACTCGAAAGAAACGGCATAATATATTTTTAATCGATTTCTTCAAATAGGAAATTACGAGAGCACGCTTAGGCTTAGGCCTAGGCATAACTGTTGATGGGACCATAGCTCTTCACTAGCGTCTAATACTGTTGAGCCTTGAACGACGGACGGGATTTGAACCAGCATTTCGCCCTTTCCGGGGGCGCGTGCTAACCTTAGCGCCAGTGGCGCTCGTTCTAACATCACTCTTTCTCCGACATATAAATATATATATAACATCATGCCATCGCTAGAAGCGATTAAAAATTAATTCTACTTGATAATTCGTATATCCAATATCTGCTCGTGTGACTGACTTCAATGCTGATATCGGCTTGCCAGATCAAACTTCAGAAAGTTGATTGCTGGCAGATTGATACGACTGTGTTGAAGAAAGAAGGATGGCAGAACGAGCGTTGGTAGTGCAATGCATAGAGCGTTCCCGGAAAGAATGAGATGCGGGTTTGGATCCGATCTGACGTCTGAAGTCCTGCATATCATTCAACAATGTTGGCTCTTTGAACTCTTGTTTGGTTAAGAAAGAAATCCTGATTTGATGCTGGCCGCAGTTGTTATTGACATTCTGTCTTCAACGTGGCATTCTCAGCTCAGAAAGAGCTCAGTTATCAGAGTTGGATCCATCGAACTCGTGTCCATTGGGCAGATTTTAGAGAAATTCTATCTGTACTACAAATTCTACTGACTTCAGCTCGTATCTCAAGCCTTTTTGTCCTTTAGATCGAGTTCCAGCATCCTATGTTTAGGAACCTTTTTGACCATGGATGGCGCTTCTCATGAGTGATCCTCATCGTGGATCTTTTTGCGCGGGAAAGTTCAGTGTCGGCTCCACGTATTCGAGTTGCTCATTGATAGATGCGATTGAAATCTGAATGAACTAAAATCTGGTTTCTTTGGGGTTTATTCGTCGTCGGGACAGCAGCATGGCTCCGCACCAAAAACGGCTTTGAGGGATTACATGGAAGTAATCGACGAGTTCCACCAAAATAGTTTACAGCTTCGTCGTGGCTGGGAAGGTGATTCTGGATGTCTGACTGCGAACCACAGCGGTAGGTTCAACTATCCAGCAGGGCCACCTTAGCTTTGTAAGAGCATGACGTTTCCAATCGGATAGCCCGGCCAGAAGCAAACCGTACTAGGAATGACCTCTGTCTTGGCATTTGTTAGTTGCAGCGTGATAATCTCCCTCTGTACGCTAGGGCCGACCACTGCTGTAATGTGATGACGACCGAACGAAGCTCCGGTTAGGGTTACGTTGGTATTCCAGGGAACGAAGCAGCTTAACCAGCACGTTTTCCTCTGCTGGGGTTCGTACTATCAGTGAACACGAGCCGTCCAAGTATCCAAGTAAGTATCGACGACGTATTGCAGAGTAGGTGTTCTAGTGTAGTAACTCTTCATCCTTTTGAGTTTGAGCTTTCAAAGAATTTCACCTTTATACCACCGTTTTTTCTGTTGAAAGGAGCTTTTTTCACGAGAAGAGAGAGACGTACATAGAATGGCCAGATCAGTTCTTCAGTGACGTCAGTAACATGTTCGTGGATTAAGTCAGTGATATTATGAATTTTATTTTTCGTACTGCAGGCTGCCTTTACAAAACTTCTCTATCGCTTTAAAGTGTGTGACAATGTTTGAAGGCTTTTCGAAGTTTGTATATCAGTGATTTGTGTACTTTTCGGCGATATCGCCGGCCTCATGAAGGCACACCTTCCTTGTCAGCTTGTTAATAGTAGGATGAGGAGATATATTTTGACAATATCACGTGCAATAATTTAGGGTTGAGTAGTTGGGCGTGTAGCTCTGATGAAGCGGGCAATATCTCCGAAACGTACGCAAGCCACTGACGTAACAACCTTGAAAAGACTCCAATCATTCTTAGAGATTGTAGAAAGAGTGGAGTGCAAAACGAGCGTCGGTGGTGCAACGGTTAAGCACATGCTCCCGGAAAGAGTAAGATCTGGGTTCAAACGGCTTCTTTTCCCGGCTGGCGCAAACGTTTTTGCACACCACTCTACATCAATGGGCTTACAGATTGTATTGAATGTTTATAGCAAGATTTAATCGCAGTCAATTGAGAGCATTTCTTCACAATTCTAATGTTTTGCCAAGTCAAGTTGTCTTTGCTCAGTGTATGGTTCAGAATGCGCCAACTCTAGGTAACTGGAAATTCTCCTTCCCTATGAGCTCTGAATCCGCTTGCCATCATTAAATCGAAGGATCGACTTTCACTGAACCTCGCCAGCTAAATGAAGAATATGGAGCAAACTTTCAAAGCTTGTGCAAGTCGGTAGATCTTCTTCCCTTTCAGTAATCGATGGATGACGTTTTGGCGACTTTACTTTCTTTGAAAACTGAACGGATTCCATATAGTTTGCTGTTATAGGCTTGTAAGCTTCTTGTAATATTAATGAAAATGTGTGGTATCTAAAAACTTCATTCGAAGAAAAACCCTCACGTTTTGTCAAATCTACCAAGACTAGTTAGACAAAATAAAAGCTCGTGTGGCTCAGTGGTTGTAGGTGCTCTGCGGCGCTTATTTCTTATTTTTCTTTTCCTCTTTCCTCTTTTCCTTTCCCTTCAATCGTTTGCTTTTATTTACCTGTTGCATTGCTGAAAAACGGTCTTTTCAGAAACTAATCACAGCGTTGGAATCTTCAAATAGTTATGCTATCGAATAATTACTAATAGTCCAAAAATGAGCTCTGTATTGCTAAAAACCCTTTTGTAAAAGCTAAATGTTTTACTTTCATTGAAGCGTTACAAAATGACTGTTTCAGAAACTCGCCACGCATCGCGTTAGCAAAAGATTTAAGCATTCTTGTTCAGCGAATGGAGTCGAATATTCATTTTTCGCTCACCTAACAGAAGAGTATCTAATCTTGGTTTCCGTAAATTCCTTTTCAGAAGATGCAAGACAGTTTTGTCGCCGTTTCGGCGACACTGAATGGAGCAGAAGATATGGTCAGCATTCGAAGAAGGTTGACTATGTCAAGGTATTCCCATCTGCGATGGCTGGCTATTCATTTCGCTGTTTCAGGATTCGTTCTAGTTCATTTGCAGCTTCAAGTACGAGTTCATCTTTCGAGTTCCAACACTGGGAACACTTACGATGATCTCTTCGGCTGATTCGTCTGTTCTAGAATCACGGCGATCTCGAAAGTTATCCCTAGAGTTCTAGTCACTTTTCATCACGAAAATCGCATTGTAGCGTTTGTTCAATTTTGTTTATCGGCACGCTACTTCCGAGACAAGTGTGATGATGCTTTGCTGTCGCTGTTGTTATGAGTGTTCTGCCACGTGGTTCTTCTTGATTCGTCGTTTTCATCTCACCTCAAAGTTGGGTAATTAGACTTCCTCACTTATAATATTGACACAGCAGTCACACTCTGGGAGCCAGAAGCACATTTACAACAAAATTAACACCGTTTAGTTGATGGAAGCAGTATCACCTGTGTCAATGTCATTTCGATGTTTGTCGATTGACGCGAACATCTACCGCCTAAACTTCCATTTTTCCTCTTTGTATGCGGCAGTAGCTCAGAGTGGGTTCTTCTCGCTTTAAGGATGGATCTTGCAGCAAGCCAGATTTCTTTCTGTATCCTCTATTCGTTCCTTTCATTCCTTCAAAGGAATCTCTGGTTTTGTACTTTTGCCGGGAAGCATGACACGTGATGTATCTTTTGGGTAGCTCTTCCGTAAGCTCAAGAGAACGAGAAGAGCTAGGCAAGAGCATGTTCCAGTCGACTATCGTGGACTTTAGGTTCTTAAAACTGCTCTGAGTGCCACAATCTGTGCTTTCACTGGCATTTGACGGATAGATTTAATTGCATGGGTTTGTTGTGTATTTCATTCTTTTTCATTTTTTTGAAATTGAAACATGTCATAGTGCAGATCTTCCTGCTGGTGACCTCGGTGATCTCAGGATTCGTTTTGGCACTGGTTTTCGCGGTAACCACTGTCCTTGTGGTTATAAGGACGGATCCACCTTTGAAACTATGAAAGTCTTTTTGGGGCCCTCGCCCCTTTCGGGAAAATACGAGTCGGGCTTTAGACCTTTCGGAACCGTGGATACACCTCCTGTGCATCTCCAGTCCTTAACGTGGGAACGCATTGAATGTGTTATTGTATTATTTGTATTCTATTATTGTTGTTATTTTCCTGTTATGTTATCATGTAAGTATATTATGTTGCTATAAGTAGGAAAATAACAGCGAGAAACGTTAGTGGGAACGTTTAGATCCTATGGGGGGAGGCTGATCCGCCAGTGACTTAAGTACTTTGAGCGATATTGCCCCTCATCAGAGCTACACACCCCACTGGTCAATCTTGCTTTCTGATAGTGATGGGAGGACGTATTTTTGGTTATAGCATATGCTGTAGAGTGTTATGACTGATTAGTGTGGCGCTGATGAACCTGACGGCATTGAAGTACGTAAGCCATTGACGTATCAACCATGAGAAGGCTTTGAAAATTCTTACAGATTGTTTGAGTGTTCTAGCGCGATTGTGAGCAGTCAGTTGAGAGATATTTCCACAGTTTTGAAGTTCTTCTGTTCGTCTTGTTTGTGCTCGGGTGTCTAGCTCAAATGCGCTACCTCCAGTGTTCAGCGAAAGGGATCGGATTTTGATCCCGTTCCGTCTAAT